AATTTTAATTGCAGGAAAAAGACGATGTCCAGGCGAGGTACTAGCAAGATCCTCGATATTCATGTTATTTGTGGGCGTAATGCAGAAGTATAGTTTGTTTCCTATTCCTGGTAAAGGACCATACTCTGTTGAAGTTAACTATGGCCTGACAGCATCACCAAAACCTTATGAAGCACTTGCCATGCCACGATAATGCATATGTACCTTGTTTACGACGTACATTCTCTAATGAATCAATTAGCCATTTGATTTACCATGAATGGCTAATTGATTCATACGAAGCATGAACGAGATCAAGTTTGTATATCGTTTCATGTATCTATTTTACATAAATAACTGCGTATGTTTATTCGTCCGGTTGTTATTCTAATGATCAAGATGTTGCCGATGACCGTCGAAATTTCGGTTTCAAGTAATTTCATCCCTAGATAGAAGCCGAGTTTGTTTGACTTCAACAAATTTTTCTCTCGAATATTGTTTATTGTTTCTGCCTCGTGAAAGTCGCTTTACGCATCGTTTTACGTGTTCGACGAAATCAGCTCGTTTCGCAGAATTCCAAATGTACCTTCGCTCGCTCGCGCCACGTGGCGATTCGTTCCTTTTATATTAGGCCTCAACGTGTCTGTCAAATGTTTCCTTATCGCTGAAAAATAGATCCTGTGAAGCTCAGAAAGATCACGTAGTTTGTTACACAATATTATAAAATATTGAGAAGAATATCTTTCTTTCAAATTTTTTTTATCATATATTTGTAATAACTAGAATATCGTACACTCGGCTATTACTTGATAAATAGAAAATTTTCAATAAGAATATCTTTTTTATTAAATATACATGTTTGTCGACTCTGATGCTTGATTAATTATTTTGAATTGCTATCGTCTAAGGACATAATATTTTAATTATCACGTACAGAACAGCAATTTATTCTTGGGGGCACTGGAGAATCTACTCATAATTGTCAGTTACATAATTTTCCGTTTTTATATTTGCATTTAAAATATAAATGACGCATTACACTTAAAACTTCGCTACAATATTTACGTTGCACTGCAGTTTACAATATCAGATCTTGCCGTAAGCTTTAGATAATAAGGTTTCGGTGATATAGTGAAACCATCGTGTCCATTTGGATCCGGCTCGCCGTGCTCCGGTGAAATTTCAATGTCGAAGTAATGTATAACGTAGGCGAAGAATAAAAATAAGGATGTCCGGGCCAGCATTTCACCGGGACAACGTCTTTTACCTAAAAGGCAAAACATCATCATTAATTCCAAAACATTTTACCTGAAAATATATGCAAAAACTTCAAATATTTACATTTACAATATTAAGCATTGAATTTCTATTTAAGTGATCGTCTGATTAGCAAGCTGAACTACGTAAGCTTAAAAGATTTGATTTTATCTGATGAATTATTTCTGGAATAATGAACTGTGTGCACATGTGTGTATATGTGTGTGTGTGTGTGTGTGTAATTCGAAAATGTTTCAAGCGAAAAGAAATGAATTAAGTTCATCGCGATGGAATACATACCAATTCTTATAAAATCCTAGTTTATAATAAAAAAGATTTGTGTACAATCAACTGACCTAAGCCGAATGGTATGCTGGCATTATTTTGGCAGAATCGACTATTTGCATCGAGAAATCGTCGAGGTTGAAACTTTTCTGGATGATCCCAGTAAAGTGGATCGTTTAACACACTATGGAAATCCAGAAGAATTACAGTATCCTAAAATTATAAAAATGTATGAACCAATGTCTTTACTCGATACTCATGTTTGCGGTACTTGCTTTAGGTATATTATATCCGTTCAAAGTTACGTTTTTCATAGTCTTGTGAGGGACTCCGAGTGGCGCCAAGATCAAAAATCTCTGTACCTAATGTAAAAATCATTTGTTTATATAATAAAAAAAAAAAATGAAAAAACAATTATATTTGTACGATAATAAAGAATGTTGTGGTTATAGTATAACTAATCCCAATCATTAATTACTTCCGCAAGGAACGATTCCATCAGAGGTAGTGATGAGTAATCTTCTAAAGTAGGAGATCGTGATCTGCCTACGACATTATCCAGTTCTTCCTGGAGCACTTTAATCCATTCAGAGTGTAAAGATAAAAACAGAAAAGTAGTACTTAACGTATCTGTCGTAGTCTTCGAGCCAGCTAAGAAGAGGTCCAGGCATAGAACCAGTAAGTTTTCTCCTTTTAAACACAAATTAAATTGCTATTTGATGACAAATGGAATATTATTTCTTAATTCTACAAGTATAAAAAGTTACTCACGATCAAAAATGGTATCACTTGGTTCCGTATTTTTTGAGGAGATCTCTAAAAGGAAAGCATCGATCAAATCCTGTGGCTGATTCTCGGACAATTGTCTTTCGTGGATGTTAATCTCTTCGTCTAGGAAACCCCAGAGCTTCTGAAGTATTCTCATTAAATCATTATAACCAGATAATTCCGGTACTATGAAACGTAGAAATGGCATTTGCGAAACAATGCCGCCCATCGTGTCCATCAATCTATGGGGAAAAGTGTATGTGACTCGAAAATTGCATCTAACGTGCACTTTATGCATTGTTAATTGAGATGTGATGATATTAAAAGAAAGAACTTTTTTTGAAATTTACCTGAAGGCATCGTGAACAATTTCGAGAATTTCCACCAGTTTCTCGTTTCCATAATCAAACCTGTGACCAGCGAACATACACCAGAGAGAATTCAGGACTGCAATGTCGAAAGCTGTATGCATTGATACTGGACCTTTGGCACTGGCATGACGAAGATGATTCGTCAGATTTTCAGCTTCGACAGTCAGCTGTTTTTCCATAATTGATTGACCCAGCCCAAAGTTTCTGAGATGGCGCATTGTGAAACGGCGGCACTGAGACCAGGTCGGTCCATCCGTGAATAAAATTCCTATTCAAATTTATATAACGAGACTGCTGTATATTAATTTATTAGTGAGAAATTTTCTAATCTTGTCGCAGTGATTCTTTTTTTTTCCGTTGCAAATGGAGAAAAGAACGTTACGTAAATACCTTTCCTTTTCCCGAACGCACGCACTCTGAAGAAGAATCCATCCGGTCTTCCGTTGAACTCTTGCTGAAGAAGGACTTTCTTTACTAGATCGTGCGTCGAAATTACAACGACTTTCTGGTTCCCTAATTTCAGGCCCAAAATCGGCCCGTAGGTTTTCGTCAGATTTTGGAAAGCCAAGTAAGCATACTTGTGCTTCAGTTTCAATCGACGGAACGTGAGGAAGCAACCGATCACTGGCAGCCATTTCGGACCTGCTCGGACATTTGAATAAAACGTGAATATATTCCAATAAATAAATCAATTTACGAAAGGTTAAAAAATTAATAAATTCACAGACAGATCATTTTGTTTAGTTTTGTTAAAAAGATCAATTTAAAATTAAATAAAAAAAATCAACGTGCACTGTTAATTATGGATTTTCTGTTCACCAACCAGGAGGAAAATTGTGCGGTTTAATGCAATCATAGACACAAAACATGGAGAAAAGTAGAAAAAGCAGAGAGATGATCACGTAGAACATCTTGAAACGTACTGATAC